AGACCACAAATCCTCGCTAAAGAACACCGATTCCTTCCAAGGATGATTCGCGAGGCTATTGAAATCAAAAAACATCCTAATTTCAATAGAGAAGATAGCTGGGTGCTACCATCTGCTTGGGATCTCATAATTAATAAAATTAAATCCCAACCCAAGCATACAACTGCAAGACTTCATGATACCGTAAGTTCATACTGCGTAGATCGGAACAAAAATTAATAATTTTTAATCTGGAGGTAGCCGTGGTTAACTATGACATTGGGGCGTCATACACCTCAGTCCCCCCCGTGACCATGGTGCTGTAAAGTGCTCAAAACGTCAGGAATATAAAATAAGTTATTATACCTACGCGATAAAATCCGTAAAATTAGTTTAATTTTCTTTTATAGGAGAGGGGGCAAACGAGGATGCGGCTCACCTGATGGTAAGTGACTACCGCCGCCAATGAACAACTGCAACACCAAGCAGGGAATTACAGATGCGTTGCCGGCCTTTATTATTTATTTTTATTTAAATGTGTAGTGTTCGCGTAAATATAAGAAATCATTATGTAAACTCCTGGTTTACGTAGATATTTAAATGATAGCAACTCAGTTTTTGCTTTTACATAAAGTGTACAAAATTAATAAATTTGCAATAAAATTAGCTTTCCCGTTAAAAACTAGGTCATCCAGGCCATCCTACCATTACACGGTACGCTGCAGGGCTTGCTTTCTTCAATTGCGCGTGTCCTATTTCTGACAATATGACCTAGAGAGGAGATATTATTTATTGCATATCGTTTTACGAATATTTAACGTTGCCAAAACCTTGTTTGTTATTCAATCTATTTTTGTGATTGATTGTTAAACTATTTAATAGATTTTGATTTTTTACAAGCGTCAAATATCAACTGTAATTTTATCAAGAATGCCACAAACCTACAATCAAAACGTTCATTTCAACCAGGGTATCCCAACCTTTTATTGAGCAGGGATCACTTTGATTTGTTTTCGTAGTTAGCAGGGACCACTAGGTGAAAGATAAAACTGTGTTAATCTGACAATAAATTATAATCACAACTTTTACATAATTAATTATATAATAAACTGTAAAGAAGCATTAATTAACAATATTCTTTGCGTATTTATTTTGTAAAAGCTATTAGGTACTTACTAACGTGCGCTCAGTGTTGCACTGCCCGTGTGACGAGAAAATAATAGAAGTGTTATCTAAAACGATTAGGCAGGTAAAGTATTTCAATCTTTCGCAGACCATATTTAAGCTCTTGCGGACCACTGGGTAGGAAATCACTGCGTTAAAACGTAGGAAATTTTATAAATATCATTCAAAGAGATTATTATATCTCGCGGCCTCTCCACAGGAATGTTGCACGTTTCATATTAGCGTGTAGTTGGCACGAGGAGTGAACTTCTCGTTAGTGCGGATGTTTAAATTTTACATATATAATATTTCTATTTGGAATATAATATCAAAGTTCTGAAATTTTCAACTTTTCTAATAATGAGTAATGTTGAGTGAATATGTGCGGTGTGCGGGCGATGCTGGTTTAAGACGGAATGTTACAGCAGTGATATCTATATATTTACAACACTCTACCTCGTTACAAAAAGTAATTTTAACTAGTCTTGCTTTAATAAAAACATCGCATTAAAAATTTACTATGAAATTTGGCAAATTGACATTTTTCATACTTCACATTGCTGTAGCATCGCGGCTAAGAAACTGCTGTCATGACAAAACCTTTCTTTAAATCCGAGATTACTAGTTAACCCCGTTTTGTAATGAGACCGTTTAGTAATATTTATTTTGCGTTTCTGTCCATGATAGACAGATTACCCCCGTGCCTCGGAAAGAACTTAATGTCGTCGGTCCTGCGCCTGATCTCTGTCCGGTCGACGTATCGGATTGCCGTCCTATCCGATCGGACCATGAGAGTGAGGGAATAGAGAGTGCTGTGCTTGCTTGCGCATACACTTGAGAACTATAATCCTGTCTTCCGCAGATAGGCTAGTTTCCTTTGAGACTGGCCGCCGCGCCTTAATTTAGTCTGGAGGATATTATTAATTGCAAAATTAGCTTGTAGTATGTACTTAGACTAAATTTAATTTTTAATTAGAATGAAGAAAAATGTAATATTTAGAATTAAAATAATGAAAAAACTGATTTCATCTCAAATTTATAAAATCTCATTATGAAAATAAACGAGTAAATGCGTGCAATGTTTACCCCGAACGGTCTAAACAGATTTGCCGAATAGTGATGTGAAATTGCGATATGTAAATATCAGATACAACTGAAACGGAATGTACTCTCGGAATTTTCACCCGGGAATGTCGAACTGTGAATTTCAAACAGTAAATGTGTGCGAACTATATTGCATACAGCTATTTAAATTTGCTCTTGTACCGTGGAAATTGCATTTCCGACCGCTCGGACGCTTTGGCGGCACGTCTATATAAAAATCACATTTCAATCAATTTTCATGGTACGTAACTTCTGTGCAAATTAGTTCTCCAGGGTGAAACTCGGTCATCCAGGCACTGCATCGGATTTGAACTAGTAACAGTTCACCTTACATGTAAACCTTATATGTATCCTTTCTTCACATATTCCCACATAAATAGTATGTAACATGTATTTCGCTGTTTCCTTTTATATGTTCGTGTCATTTTAGTTAATTGTTTGTAAATGTCATAGTTTGGAAAATATATGTCAGTAAATTGCAACTTACTGAAACTACGAGCTCAAACGCAATAAAGTTCGTTTGGTTATAGTAAATTATGTTATTAATTATGACATGGTAATATAAATAAATCTAAAATGGCTTGTCAAAATAGCTCTAAGGTTCTCAGTATCATACTGTATTACTACATCTAGTATCATACTAGCTCTATAGCTCATCACTATTGCCTCTAAGCTTCTCAGATATATTGCCGGTTACACTTTGCTGCAATTATTATTGAATATTCCTAAGGCCTAAACTCTGCAAATAGGTTAACAACATTGCACTGCGATAGGTGATATAGACAAAACTTGACGACTATACAATTATTGAAGGCAGAAATTATCACAAAAATAGCCCGTTTACGATTACTTGTAAACATAAATGCTAAAGAGGATTTTTTTTTATTTAAGATTTAGTGATTACATAAGTACAAAGAAAAAATTGTAGATTACTAAACATAAAAAAATTACGTACATATTACATCGTATCTAGTGATAGAAGTCACTAGACACTACAAGATGATGTATTAAAAGTAATCTACGGCAGATTTACACACGATGCATGGTGATGTTTTGTTTTGTTACAATGCATATATGAGGCATACGGTAAGCTTTCGGCCTCGTGCATAAGATTAAAATTACATATATATGAATGGTATATTTTTGTAAATTTGACGTTGCAGATCTTTTGCAGCAAAAAACTGAACACTTCGGCATTCTTGTAGGACGTCGTTTCAGGCGCGCACCTAGATTAAGTCTAGTCAGCAGTGCGGCTGCTACTAATTACCTTTCATGTACGTATTTAACGCGCGGTCTTATATTTTGACAGAGGGGAACGCCTGCTTATGACTACTCCCCTCTGGTCTATGACAAGTAATCAATTTTGAATATTAGCTTGCAGTTTATTTTAAACCTCAAATAGTAATAGATATTAAAATAAAATCTCGTTCATTTTTTTTTGACAATATTTCAGATAAATCGACATTTATGATTATTTCTTACGAAGTTGCTTTTGAATTTTTTGATCAAATTGATATACCTATCAGACGAACTAAATTTGCATTTGTGCTTGTTTACATTACTTTAAGTGTTTCTTAGAGATATAGCACAATATTTGCATCTAATGAAGTTTTATTTTTCTGTGTGTTTATTAAAAATTTTGAACCAGATATAGATGTGGAAAGTAGTCTTGACTTATTTCTGTATGTTGGTGGTGTATGACAATAAATGTTACTTAATTTTGCTTTTTTACCTAGTGTTTTAAGATTGAACATTTAACACGGATACCTATCAAAAAGTTTTGTTCATGGCGATTGTCATGGCTATGTCAACAACTCGATGTAAAGCCGTTTTATTATTAAAAATAATTTGTGGTTTTCGTTGTCGAAACGCCTCCATGTTTTATATGTTAATATTAAATATAATTATGCTGTTCTTGAAATTTATAAAAACTAATAGCTGACTGAGGTTTAAGGCTATTAGGCTATAGGGATGATTGATTTGTGAACTAAACACAACCTTAAGTTCTCGTGAGGCATAATGCCAGCCGTCTGCCAACCAGGTTGCTCTTTTTCCTCTCTCCGGGTTGTTTTTATTTTGTGGGCATGCGGATATGATTCGTTTTAGGAATCAAGTTTTTACGTTGATCTATATTGTATTTTCGAGTGAAAACCAGTAGATGTTTTTTGATCGCACGTTAACATTATATCGCTATCCTTTAGTTAATAAGGCGGCTTAACCTGAGAATTTGCTATAAATGTATACGGCAGTAAGGCGACTTAAACTGAACATTCGCCTTAAATTAATACGGCAGCAAGGTGGCCTAAACTGATTATTCAATTTAAATTTAATAGAATACGTGCAACCTGAGCTCGATGCACGTACACACAACTGAAATTGTTAACCGTATTAGAAAGTGTTTGCTTACCACCTGCTCGGTCGTAAAGACCTCCACCAATGCGCATTTGAGCAGTGTGACGAACCCTTCCCTGCTCCAAAACCTAATCAAAGTGAGAGGTAGTTTGTGCCCAGCTGGGGGACGTAAGAGGGCTATTGCTTTTTACTTTGTAGTTTAAGTAAATAGGTATTATAATACATATGTATTATGTGTATATTATATATTTTTAGCATTCCACACCCATCCTAGAAGAAATACATATAATTCAACGGTTTTGGCAGTCGTACTACGTGAGGGTGGCGGCTTCGTAACCGTGAGAATTTGGTGTTTTATTTCAATATTTAAACGTGACATTATATACTCCTAATACTTTCAGAGTTGTGATGGAGGGTCCATGTGCCTAGAGTTAGCGTTAGAAGGTGAAAGACTGTGCAAGGCTGGTGACTGCCGGGCAGGAGTCGCTTTCTTCCAGGCGGCTATACAAGCAGGAACGGATGATCTACGCACCCTAAGCGCTATCTACAGTCAACTTGGCAACGCTTATTTTTACTTGGGCGACTACAACAAAGCAATGCAGTACCATAAACACGACCTAACTTTAGCTAGGTAAGCATTATAAACGAATAGATTTTATGTAATTTTATGAATGGCGGTGTCAAAATATTCCCATATCTTTCCATAGGTGTCCTAAGAGGCGACAGAGGGAAATTAAAACGGGCGAGCAGCAGCGTCATCCTGGTATCAACTCAAAATAATTAAAAACTGCTGTCACCAACCGTGGCAACTATGGCAATATCCTTCCCATGAGCCAATCTATGGGAGAGGCTGACAGAGAGAAAAAGAATAGCAAATGAGCAGCAGTTTCTCCCTAATAACAAATACGAGTAAAAATGTAACATAGTAGTTGCCAACCTCCCTGTCAAGTGCGGCAACTATTGAAAATTGGAAAATATCCATCCTATGAGGCGATATATGAGGAGGCCTATGTTCAGCCGTGTTCTTTTACTATATGAAACACACCAGTATTATGCTGCTATTTGTGACAGTGTGAATAGGCTTTTGTTAAGTCAGTGCGTTTCACCATCTTAGGCTACATCACCACTTACCATCAGGTGGGATCGTAGATAAGGCTTAGTAGAATATATGTATGATTTATCTGAGCGAGCATGGTTCTTTTCCAGTCGCGTAAACGCATTCGAATTGCAGTCATAATAAGCAGCAGCTCTTCCAGTTATGAATACAAAAACTATTGATAAACACAATTACATAAACAATTACAACTATAATTACATAAACAACAGTAGTACAGTCTGAAATATAAGATTATCAGCAATTTTGTCATAATCTTTTATTTTATTTTTACGCTGCCCCGAAACGAGGGTAATGTTTTTCGAGTGTATGTAATATGTATGTATGGCACGGTCTGTAACCTAAAGGTTTCCTTGTCGTCCATACCACAATGTCTGAAGGCAAATGTTTTAACCAGTCTGTACTTACTATGGTGCCGAAAGGTGGACACTGACGATACTACTCCATAAGCTCAAGGTCACTCAGCGAGCGATGAAAAGAGTTATGTTCGGAGTTTCTCTCGTAAATAATTTTTTATGAAGAAATCCGCCAAAGAATCAAGATTACTGACATGGCTGTGTTCGTAAACTGCACTTCAGAATGGGTTGCTCACGTCTGTAGAAAAAGTGACAACCAATGGTCTACTCTATGTTATTAGCCGTAAAATTGGTGTTTTTTTTTAGAGAATAAGGGTGACAAATGAGCGCACAGTTCACTTAATGATAAGTGGATGCTGTGGCCCATAGACATTATATCTAATCTCCCCTTAGCACTAAGATGTAGTACCTAGTTTCCACTAAAAAGTACCTCCGGTTCTCTACACTCACCATACGAAACAGCAGCATTAAAATGCAATTTAACGCTGGTATTCTGTAAAAGCGTAGTTCATACCCGGTCGAGCAGACCCATTCGTAATACTATCATAATACAGCTGCAGCGTGGCTCTACGACGTATTATTACGTTGAATATACCCTTCGTCTTCCTAACAACGCCCTAAAGAATTCGTCGATTCTCATGGTAGCCCTCTATGCTTACGTATGTTTTCACTGTGGACAAAATACAACTTCCTCTATAATTTTTTCCCGTGACATGTGACAGACATTTTTTATTTAACAACTTTATATTATGTCTAGCCGTATTTGCTATTAGTCTGCGTGAATCCATCAATTTATTTTTTAAAGTTATCCTATATATTATACCTGTTGTAGGTAGTCTCTAATAAATTCAAAGGATAATGTTGTAAAGGTAAAGAGAGACTACCCTCTTTATAATAATCGCAATATAATGTATGGAGTGAACAAAGCAATAAAACAGTCTTAGCATACGTGACGTTTTACTTAAACTATAAAATAATATAACATACAACACACAAGAACAAAATTCTGTCCGTTTACTTATTTAATTGCGTTTCTTTATCTTCTTTATCAGCCCGTAAAAGGTCAACCCTGGACACGGTGCTTTTCTCTTTGTAGGGAGGATTGCCCTTAATCGTCACGCGTGGCATTCGGACTGATCACTGTACCAGATATCCCCCACTTCTGATGTTCCTTCCCGTCGCCGAAGGAGACATTATAGTGTCATAAATTGACACTTCTAACATCCATTTTATATTTCTCACTATAAAAAAATTTCACTTTAAGTAAAATTCTTGTACATAATATATTATATGTATATATTTAACTGGTTTTTCAGAAAACTTCTAACGATTTAGATAAAATCGTATTTAGATAAGGTTATACTTTCCCATTGTATCTAGATACATCATGTATTCCTTAGAAAAAATTCTAACGCCGGGTAAAAGCTTTGTCGCTTTTATTCAATAATCTCAGAGTTATTTCGTTCACGCTTGTCTAAATTTCATATGTATCAAAAGTTTATAGAGCGGTCATTAGGAACACAATCATACAAAAAATCTTTGATCTTTACGTCAGTAGTGTTATCTAGCTTTAAATAGGTATAAAAAAAAGCAAGCAATTTTCTTTTAGCCAAATTTATTAGCACACGAATACGATTACGACCTCTTGTATCACACTAGACTAAACGACTTGTTACTTATAGGTAACAGATAAAGGATTACGATTTTGACCGCTTTGGTCCGTTTATTGCTCGATAAATATTTAAAATGTCTTTGATGTCCATCAATTTCCATCTTTTTTATGTTAAATACAGACAGGCAATTTTTTGTTAGTTACATTCTTGTTGAAAATCAAATATATATATTGATTAAAAAAAAACATTCGGAAGCCTAGGATTTATTTTTAAATTCGGAAATAATACATACACTACAAATTTTAATTTCAATTTGTTTTAATATGTACTTGTTTATTTGTATATTAATTAATCTATTACAAAACCGACCAGTTTTGCCTCAAGGCACTTGTGGACTACACTGTGATTTTACTGTCCGCAATGTTATGCCAGTAGTTCATTGGCGATGAATTTGCAAATCATTTCAGTTCTTTGAAGTCCCTTTTTAACTTTTTTAGTCAAATTACGGATAGTATAAAAGAACACCCGATAGTTCATACAGAATAGTGGGTTGCTATATTGAATCGTAAGAAATTATAATTGATTCGGCAATGTTACCGTGTAGTTCACAAACAGCCTTACTGCATCATCAGGTAGGAGAGTGTGGGACATACTACCGAAGGATGCTAGACAGACTGCAGGCTTGATTCACGCACGATACATTATTGTATGTCATCCCAAAAATTGCTTCAGGTTCATGTGCAATTTATGTATAAACACCCCAACAGCACTTGAGAGATTCCTATTGTTTAAAAATAACCTTTTTTTTTTTTTTTGCGGATGGAAAATCATCAAATGACGCCTTTCGCTCTGGGTGGAGCGGAAGGGAGTGTCAGACTTTTACTGACTAAAAACCATCCGTGTTCCTTCAGTGCCCTTACGTTCCGGAGCCGCGGTATCTCTTTCGAACAGCCCGCAGCCCCGGCAGGCGTCGGCCCTTGCGGGCCCCTTCACGCTGCTGACAGCTCTTTGAGGCGCGCGTGGAACAAAACGCGCCGTCGACACGGCCTGTCGTCGTTAGACGGACGGACGGCGAGCTACCCATTGCTCGCCGTCCACAGGCCCGTGCCTACGGTGGCCGGGGGCCACGACGTAGCCCCCGACGCCCGGGGCGTCTCCCGCGGCGGCCGGGAAGGAAAGCTGCTGCTCTCTCCTTCTCCCGCTCCGCCACCTCCTTCGCTAGCATCACTGCTTCGCAGAAGGTGGTGACGGCAACCCATTCCGTCTCGCTCCGGACCATGGCTTCGACCAAATGTTGCTTTTGGTTCAGTTTCCTTCTGTGGTCGCTTACGGCACGCAATGGATGATATGCGGTAGTGATAGTCTTACTTCGCTACTACAGAGCCAACTTAATCAAATCGATAACAAATCAGCCGTGGTAGCTGAGGAGTTAAGCGCCCGCTGTAAATTTCACAGTACGAGAGCAACCTGGGTTCGATCCCCGACGGCGCCAACGAAATTGTTAATTGCAATTTTTAGTGCTGATTTACCACGTGCTCTGCGGTTAAGGAAAACATCGTGAGAAAACCAGCATGTGTGAAAAATAAGAGAAAAAATATTACGAAGACGTGAAGTTCGCCAACACGTATTGGGGCAGCGCGGCGGACGTTACCTTGCCCTAAAACCATCTTAGAAATGAGAGGAGGCCTGTAACTTTAACTTTTATAACAAATCAGAAACTTAACTAACTATAACTTTTTTCATCTTAAGTATGATGAACTACCATTAAGTAGCGCATGGTTCTATTAGTTAACTAAAATTTGAATTATCAAAGGGAAAAATAACAAGCAACCGGTGTAAACATAGTAGTGTGTACATATTATGCACTCCGATGTTGTATCAATATATGTCGCACTTAAATTATATTCGCGATCAATATCGAGGATATAATTTAAGTGCGACATCATCTTTTTAACTTATTGAGGCACATTGTGTAATGTCGGGATATCAGCTTTCTGTCTAAATTTAGACAGTGATAATGCCTCATATTTGGACGTCATCATTTACGCAAGAGTTATTATATTGCCACGAAAGTAAAGTTATAGCCTATTATATACTTATAACAGCCTCCTCTACGTTTCCTCACGATATGAGGTAGTGGATATTTTTACGTCGCTACTGCGCGGTTAGTACACGCTTTATATTTTGTATAAAATATAATTTCATATTACATTTTCAAATTTTTGCTTTATAAAGTTTCTTATAAATTTATTCATATTCGACATATTTCAAAATGAATTGGCTCACAATAGAATTGTTATTTCCGGTTGTTTAATATATATATTTTCGGTACAGATTTAAAATGTAGAATTTATTCAACATTTTAATCAAAATCAAACGTCAACCGAACTGGCAGAAGTTTCATTGTGTTATTTTTGAGCAACATGAGCAAAGGCTTTTACGTATATCTGACTGGATTCGTGGAAAAGTCTATATTCGATTGCTTCATTCCATGAATTCCGATACGAAAATGTAAATCTGTGAATGTACCTATTATACTCAGTAGAGCGGTATTTATGAAGAATATAGCAGTATATTACGTAGTATGTGCATGGTAGAGCACATACATGGTAGAGCCATGCTGCAGATATTACATGGTTGAAGTTCGAATGGGTCGTTGCGACCGGGGAAGGACCACGCTCTCAGAGAATACCAGCGTAAAATAGCAGCGTAATGTTGCTGTGTTTCGTAAGGTGAGTGTAGAGAACCGGAGACCTTTCTTACTGAATCTTAGTCCATCTTAGTCGTAGGGGGTGAGAAGGCATCTTCATTTTGATTCTTAATCGAGGATAGACATTTGTCTATAGACCACAACATCCACTTACCATCAGGTGGACTGTGTGGTCGTTTATCAGACTTAAAAAAAACTGTTGGTTTTCGACTCTAATTAAGTTGTGATTGTCCTGTTTTTGACTCTACATCCTTAACCAACATACGAAATTTTTACATCACACAAAGGGTAGTTAGAAGAAGTGTAGATTAGTGATACTATAATATTTCTTACTCCGGTGACGGAAAACACCATGAAAGTGCGAGACATCTCGTACTACGACCATCAATGCGCCTGCTGAGCGTGATGCTATGAAGGCAAATCCTCCACACTAGAAGAGGTCCATAACCAGCAATTGACTTTTACGAGCTGATGATGATGAAGAATATAATATTCTGACCCGTTTGACACCTTCTTTTATTAACTATCTACGAACATTGGAAGTTGTCACCTACGAGTACGTCGATCAGCCTTGAGGATATCATAGTCATTATAATAACTGGCTTCATTTTCTAAGTTTGACACATGTATATATTGTTTTGACACTCATTGAACGCTGTGTAACGTTGGTGCTTTATTAAACCCTACCTACCTATATTAGCTATAAATAGCTCGTTTTAGCCGTCTTCAAAAAAAGAAAAAGGTTTGAAATTCGACTCTATGTATGTCACGTGATATCTTCTTCAATAGTGAACCATTGATGATTCATTTTTTTAAATAGGTTATATACTTCTACTTCTATATATCTACTTATATACTTCAGGACCCTATATAAAAATAAAAAAAATATTCACCCCTAAGGGTGGGTATCCCCATTTACAGACGATGTTTTTCATGGAACTATTTAGATGACATTGAGATTGCGGTATTTGTTATTCCAATTTCTCGTAAATGGGTAAAAAATAACTTTTAGTAAAAAGTATAAGCCGACGTCGAACAACTAAAAGGAATGAAAATATTTCATATTCTGAAGTCTTAATGCTTCTATTAAATTATATGTCTTAGCACCGACATAAGATAGTAAAATTATTTTATTCCTTTCAGTTATTTGAAGTCAGATTTACATTAATTATTTTTTAGACATTATATTTGTCAGAATGTATTAAAGACTAGCCACACGCCCCGGATTGGCCTAGGTGGGATATTAATGTGGTGTTATGATAGTCATCAAAGAGCATTTACTTCATCTTATCAATTTTTCGAAAAAAATGTGTTAGTTTTTCGGGTAGAATATAACCTACATCATTACTGGTATTGACTTCTATCCGTTCGTAAAGTTTCATTACAATCGGTTTAACCATTCCGAAGATTAGCCCGGACTGACAGACAGACAGACAGGTAGACAAAAATTTTAATAATGGTTGCTCATGTTTTAACGCCATTCAAATAACCCCATCAGCTCAGTAAAGGCCATTTAATTCGATGTTACAGACAGATACTTCAATTTTACTTATATGTATAGAAAAAGCTAACGGTACGGAAACAAATGAACAACTGATTTTTTTTAAAGGCAATGTCATGTTGCTTATTTTTTCTGCCATTTTCCTTTTCGAGTTTTATTTTGAATTCTCTCGGGACACAAAAAAGATCGTTCGATTGGATTTTTGACAATACCTATCAAATGCGTAAACGGGGTAAAATGTATGAATACCGAAGGGACCAATAATTCTTTAAATTAACTGTTTAACGCAGATTTTAAAACGGTGTAACTCACTACTGTATCAACTGTAATAATTGAATGAAAAAAAATATTGCTTTTAATGTGCAAAAGGAGTAAATTCCAGTAAATGACAAAACTAGTAAAAAAAAATTATAACTTTTAACAAAAAGTAAAAGCCGACTTCAAATTGCTAAAAAAGAATGTATTAATTTGCTACCCTTAGGGGTGGAATTTTTTCTCCAATTTTATGTGGGATCACCCTTGAAGTATAAACTGTTTAACAAAAAAATAATCATTAAAATCGGTTCTCAGTCTGCGAAAATATCATATGAAAATCCTTAAACAATAGTCCAATATGAAACTTTTACTCATATTTTCCACACTTGAGGGCGGGTGTTTTTCTTCATAATTTAATGGGCCTATTTAATAAAAAAAAGTATAATTAAAATCGTTTCACATTCTGCAAAGATATCGCGTACCATAAATACAAAAAATACGCTGGAATTGAGAACATCCCACTTTTCTTATAGGACGATCCTCCTTTTTGAAGTCGTTTAAAAAGAGACCATTTTACTGTCAGAAATGCATTCCATAAACAAATCTATTAAGTATATGTCTCAAGAAAGATAGATGGAGCGCTACGTACATTTCAATTGATGTCGAAACCACGCTCAACTTTAAAACACACAGACGCAAACATCTTGCTTCTTTATTTCTTGCATGTGTAAGTTTACGCAAGTAAGTAATACTTGCGTCGTCGGCAGCCGAGTTGCAAATGATGGTTACATTAATGAACAGGACATTAAAAGAAAAGGGAATGAAAGTGAACGCAAGTAAGACGAAAGTTATGGTTTTTGAAAGAGAAGAAAGTAAAACGATATGTGAAATAAGAATAGAAGGGGAGTTGGTAGAGCAAGTAGATGAGTGTGTTTAGCAGGGATGGTAGATATGATAAGGATATAGAACGACGAGTGAATGCAGGAAATAGAGTAAATGGGGCTCTACACTCTATTGTGAAAAGTCAGAATGTGTCCAAGAAGGCACGTATGGCAATTCACAATGCTGTGTTAGTACCTACTTTAATGTATGGTAGTGAAAGTTGGGTGTGGCAGAAGAAGCACGAGAGTAGAATAAATGCTGTAGAAATGCGGTCATTAAGGAGTATGTTGGGGATGAATCTGAATGACAGAGTGAGAAATTGTTTAATAAGAGAAGAGTGTGGTTTGCAAGATGATGTTGTGACCAGGATTAAGAAAGGAATGCTTCGGTGGTTTGGCCATGTAGAAAGAATGAATGAGGAAAGAGTGACAAAGCAAATTTATGTTGCAGAGGTGAACGGCATAGTCGGGAAGGGTCGCCCTAGGCGAAAGTTTATCGACCAAATTGGCGATATATTAAAAATGGGCCTAATCAAGAGTACCTTTAACCGACGTGCGTGTATGCGTAGGTATATGGATGTGGAGGAAGCGAGAGAGGTGTGTCAGGATCGTGCCAAATGGAAGTCCATAATCTCTGCCTACCCCTCTGGGTGACAGGCGTGAGTGTTTATGTATGTATGTAAGTTTACCGCTGGACGCACACATATGCATCTAAAATTATGTTGTTGGTTGTAAATTATTGAACAATAAGTTGAGCACGTTTTTGGCGTCACATGAAATGTACGCAGCGCTCCGTCTTTCGTTTTTTGTTGTTGATCTGAGGTAAATGTAACACTGCATGATGATATAGCAGTAAGTGGTAAGGTATCAACCTTAGTTGTTATGCAGTATTTGGTTTATGACTGTTATTAATACTTTAAACATTACTAAATTGATATTACAGAACTGAGTGGGTCAATTCAAGAATTTTATAAACCTGTGATGAAATAGGTATAATAGAAGATTTTACATTTCTACTCCCAGCTTTCATTTTCTTATGTTTTAAACATTAGTGCTAGATGTGGAATATCGACGGCGTTATTAACCATTTTGTAACAAATTACGAAACTAATTGTAACTTTATCCACAGGACAATAAACGACAAGCTTGGCGAAGCTAAAGCTTCAGGAAATCTTGGCAACACTTTAAAGGTCATGGGAAAGTTTGCTGAAGCTATACAGTGTTGCAAGCGCCATCTTGAAATATCGAGATCCCTTGGCGACAAATTGAGCGAAGGACGCGCACTCTACAACTTGGGCAATGTATACCATGCGCAGGGAAAGCATTTGGGGCGTGTTGGTCAAAATGATCCCGGCCACTTTCCCCAGGAAGTACGGGAGTGTCTTTTGCAGGCAGTCGCTTATTACGAGTGAGTGATTTTGTTATATTATATAATTAATGTATATAGATTAGCAGTTAAAGCTTTAAAAAAGGTAGATCAGAGCTGCGGAAGATCACTGGTCAAGTGGTTTGAACTTTTATTACACTCCTACAGGAATGTTCTTGTATATTTCTAAAACCTATTTTATCGTGCAAAGAACTTTGTTTTTACTTACTATGACATGAAAAAACGCGACATAACTTATTATTTATACGTAAATGAGTATTTTTTTAAAAACACAAGTGACAAATGAACTTACAGTCTACCTGATGGTAAGTGGCTACTGCAATCCACGGGCTCCTGCAATAGAGATGCTAATCGATTTCGAAATAATTCATTATTTCAATTGTGCCGATATCAATTAATCGATAAGTTACAATGATTATATCGATTAATCGAAGAAAAGTTCTAGGCTTTTCGTTAAAATAGATTAGATAGATGCAGCTATGTGCCAAATACTGTATTCTCGGTAAATCTAACCAATAAAATTATACAACAAATAAAATTAATAAAATACTAAAAGGAAAATATTTAATACTTTTTTTTTAATTTTAATCAACATTTCCATATACTTTCATATATTGATGACAAAAAAATTAACAATGGGGGGAACCAGTCAATTTATTTCTCATGTCAGTAGCGATCAGGCCAGCCTCTGAAAATAGTCTTTCAGAAGGTATCGATATTGAAATAATAGCCAAGTATTTAATCGCCGCTTTATAATAATCAATGAAGTGCCACTCCCTTAGCAACAAAGAAAATTTCCAAACTAAAACCCACAACAACTAAATAAACAAACAAACAAAATCACAGATTATTGCTGTAGAATCAAACATCAATCTTTTTTTAACCGAATTCATAAAAGATTGAGGTACTCAATTCGACTGTATTTTTTAATGTGTTCCCTCAAAACGTTTTTCTTTTAATTTGAAAGCTGGTGCTTCTCATGTGGTCCCATATAAATTTGATCTAGATTTGACCAGTAGTTTTTGAGTTATCCTTAATAATGCGTATTTAATTGACTTCGACTACATTGAAGATGTTCTCATTTATACTTTACTTCAAGTAAAATCACTTGTACTACTTGAAGTGAGTCTGGCAAATGACAAAGATTTTGGTCATACATCCATTGTTGTCAACTTTATCTAGTATCGCGAAATATCGATTAACTGGCATAAAATAATCTATATAATCGATTATTTCTATTTTAGATTAATCGATCGAGACGCAAAAAATTAACAATCGATTAATCGATGATTCGATTAATCGAATCGGTATCGAACATCGCTAACCTGCAGCTAAATTAAAACAACGAAGGCTATAGATGCGTTGTCACCTCTGAGGACAGAGATGTTATTTCTCACACACTGTTATAATTATATCGGCGCTCTATACCTTTCAGACCGGAACCCATTTCGAATCCCGGATCGGGACAAAATTAGTCAATTGGTTTTTTGTCAAGAAATTCTTACTACCAGCCCGGTGTCAGGAAGTTGGCGGAGTCTCACCCCCGTGCCTAAAGCCGTCCGTCCTGCGCCTGATCTCTCTTCGGTCGTGTCGGTTTACCGTCCCATCGGACTATGAGTCAGGGAATAGAGAGTGCATCTCTTCTTGCGCATACATTCGGTCACTAGAATCCTGTCCAGTGCAGACATCACGTTCTCCATTTAATCTGGCTGCCGTGACCGAAATTCTTATTATTTGGCGGCAGAAATACGTAACAAGCTGGCTCCCAATCAAACGGACACCTTGGCATAAAAGGTGTCCTATCCTCTAGTAAATTTGAATTAAAAAAATACTAAGCGCTGTCATCACATCAGGACACGGTTGCCTACTGTAAATAATAAAAATTTCAATTGATTCCTCTAATTTTGTTTTCAAATTTTTATAAAATGGCCGTATCATATGGACATATTCTGTACGTGGTAGAGCCATGCTGTAGCTATATTGTGGTTGCAGCACGAATGGATCGGCTCGACCGGGGTAGGACCACGCTCTCATAGAATACCAGCGTAAAATAGCAGCTGCCGTGTTTCGTATGGTGAGTGTAGAGAACCGGAGACCCTTTTTACTGGAAACGAGGCACTCCATCCTAGTCCTCAGGGGTGACAACGCATCTACATTTTGATTCTTGATAGAGGATAAATGTAGATGTCTATGGGCCACAGCATCCACTTACCATGAGGTGGACTGTGTGCTCGTTTGTCACCTTTATACTATAAAAAAATACGCGCACGAGTCTGTTAATTGGTTTTTTTTTTTTTTTTTTTTTTTATAGAATAGGGGGCAAACGAGCATGCGGCTCACCTGATGTTAAGTGACTACCGCCGCCCATGAACAACCGCAACACCAGGGGAATTGCAGATGCGTTGCCGGCCTTTTAGAAAGGTGTAAGCTCTTTTCTTGAAGGTTCCTAAGTCGTATCGGTTCGGAAAATTCGCTGGTGGTAATTGATTCCACAAAGAAGTTGTGCGAGGGAGAAAACTTCTTCTAAATCGCACAGTGGTGGACCGCCAATCATCCAGATGGTATGGATGGTAACGCGAGTTTTGTCGCGACGTGCGATGGTGAAATTGAGCGGCTGGAATTAGTCCGAACAATTCCTCAGAGCACTCCCCGTGATAGATGCGATAAAATACGCAAAGAGATGCAACATCTCTACGCAGTGCCAGTGTATCGAGCCGATCGGAAAGAACTCGGTCGTCGACGATTCGAATCGCTCTGCGCTGGATGCGGTCAAGTGGAAGGAGCTGGCACTGGGGTGCCCCGGCCCAGAGATGAGAACAGTATTCCATGTGGGGCCGAACTTGCGCTTTGTAAAGTTGCAAGCGATGTGCCGGCATGAAATACTGTCTCGCTCTGCTGAGCACGCCAAGCTTTTTAGAGGCCAATTTGGCCTTCCCTTCCAAGTGACCACGAAACTGCACGCTATTCGATATGTCGACGCCAAGGATTCCGATACTGGCTGAGGCAGCAAGGGGAGTGCCTTGAAACTGAGGAGATACGACAAAGGGGTTCTTTTTAGCGGTAAACGCGCAAATTTGTGTCTTCTGGGGATTGAACTGGACTAGATTTAGTCGGCCCCAATCCGAGACTTTGTTAAGCAAAGACTCGACTTCAGACACAAGTTTGTCCCGGTACTCGGCGACGTTTTCCCGAGAAATATTGGCACGGCCGGTATATAAGGCATCCCCAGTGCTGTCGTCTGCAAAGCAATGAATGCTACCAGTTAGCAGCATATCATTGATATGCAGGAGAAACAGCGTTGGTGATAGCACGCAGCCTTGTGGAACACCAGCGTTGATAGGCTTGTAATCAGAGCATGCACCGTCTACTACGACCTTGATGCTCCGATCAGCAAGGAAACTGGTGATCCATTTGCACAATTTCTCGGGAAGCCCATAGGAAGGAAGCTTCGAAAGAAGCGCCTTGTGCCAGACCCGATCGAAGGCCTTCGCTATGTCCAAACTAACGGCCAATGCCTCCCCCTTGGACTCTACTGCCTCCGCCCATCTATGAGTTAAGTAAACTAAAAGATCACCTGCTGATCGACCCCGACGAAAACCGTACTGACGGTCACTGATCAGCTGGTGATCCTCAAGGTACCTCATGAGCTGGCAGTTTATAATGGATTCCATTATTTTGGAGAACAAGGAGGTGATGGCGATAGGCCTGTAGTTGGACGGGTCTGAGCGGTCGCCTTTTTTAGGGATCGGGTGGACCAAAGCTGTCTTCCATGAATTCGGGACTACGCCTTGGGAGTAGGAGTACCGGAAAAGACGCGTTAAAACCGGTGCCAACTCCGGAGCACACGTCTTCAGCACAATGGGAGGGACTCCATCGGGCCCACTCGACTTGCTGACGTCCAGGGAGAAGAGTGCTTTGCGAACCGAGCGCTGTGTAAATCGCACATCCGGCATGGAGCACTCACATCGCGGGATGGTCGGCGATGTGTTCCCCCCGTCATCTAGAGTCGAGTTGGACGCAAAAAGAGAGCACAACAGATCGGCTTTCTCTTTTGCGGCATGGGCCAGTGAGTCGTCCTCTCTGTGCAGAGATGGGAGGGATGGCTGACAGAAGTTCCCTTGGACAGCCTTGGCGAGAGACCAGAATGCACGGGTTCCCGAAGGAAGGCGAACTAGCTTCTCGCCAATTCTGCCGATGTGCTCAGACCTTGCCTTGGCAATGACGCTTTTGAAGGACCTGGAGGCGGAATTATACTTCTTTTTAAGTGCGCTGGTGTTTAAATCCCGAGACGTTGATGCGTCAGCCCAGGCCCGGTAGCACTCCTGCTTATAGCGTGATGCTATTTTACAGGAGCGACCAAACCATGGCTGGGATCTGCCTCCGATGGGCACCACAGAGGATGGAATAAAAAGTTCCATACCCTGAAGTACCACATCAGCAACAGAATCGGCAACAACGCCTGGATCTTCCGGCGAGAAGCAAACCCGCCCCCAAGGGTAGGATGCAAAAAAAGACCGCATCCCGTCCCAATCAGCTGACCTATAGTGCCAAACACGGCGGCAAGCTGTAGATCGCAACTGCGATTGGAGCGTGAGTGGCACTGTGCTCCGGATCAGACAATGGTCCGAAGAGCCCAGAGGGGCATCGACGGAGACCTGATATCCGTCCGGATGAGAGGTCAGCAGAAGGTCCAACAGGGAAGGTACATGGTCTTCCACATCTGGGATCCGCGTAGGCGAAGTAACCAGTTGTGTTAGACCATATGCCAAAGCAAAGTCGTAGACAGATCTACCCGCATGATCGGTTGAACGAGAACCAAGCCATTCAGCGTGGTGGGCGTTGAAATCACCGAGTATCACGATCTCTGCGGATGGGACCTGTTGTAGCACGGAGTCTGCAGCCATTTGGACGTGGTCGATGAGTCGGTCCGTGTCGGCATTACCGCTATGGGACCTATAGAGGCACCCGTAGACGCGGGGATGGTCGTCGCTGTCTACGCGCAGCCATAGGATGGACAGGTC